TTTCCCTGTAATGCAATAACAATCTAACATGCTAGAGGAAATAAAAGAAACAAAAATCACAACTGAACATCATAATTTCTAAAGCTTTTATCTCAGTCAAAATTGTTTCATTACACTCACCTAAAATGAGTGAAACCAATTTTTTATTCATTCTTTCTACTTTACTAGAACCATATCCAGTTTACATTTCAGTTTTAAAGATAATAAAAACGGAAGAAATTAAATTGTTTCGGACACTAGCCACTGAACCTCATTCATGTGATTGATATCACTGACAGAAGACAATTGGCAACCAATGGCAATGATCCAAAAGACCTTTTTTGTTATGTTGAGTTATAACATAATGCATGATTCTCCAGGGTTCCTGAGCTTAGCCAAACAACATTTGCAGGCAAAGTTGAAACTCCTAATAAGCATAATGTTTGCCAAACAAGTAAACACGTGGTGCTGAGAAATCACCTTGAAAAGGGCACGCGATGCAGATCCACTTACTCACGTACTTGGAAAATACCTGCCGATGAAGCATTACACCATTGGTCATTCCTCTTGGGGCAGATAAGTTGTTAATATTTTCCATGTAATTGATACAAGTCAACGGGAGAAAATATGCGCACATCATTATGGAGAGAGATGAAACACGTTACTAGCAGTCCACCCATTGAGTGAGAAATTATATTGACTTTTCTTCCACCAGTAGCTTTGTATGCAGTCTCCAACTTTTCTTTAAGGCCATCCACTGCCTTGTCAATTCTGCCCACAGAAACATGTCACTCAGATTGTAGGACAGTTTCACCACAAAATATAACATAATCGACGGTTTTAAGCACCAAATTTAGCAGGTAAAATTGAACCACCTGTTGCTTTGCCGGAAGTCATAACCATATCCAAACAATGTGGTTCCTTTCTTATACCCGCATCCAGTGAGCATATCAATCATATCATGAAAGTGGTATACATCAGTCAAATGTACACATTTTACAAACTGAAAATCAAGAAAAAATACATATAAGACATTTTTTCTCAAATAAGCAACAAACAAATTTACATAAATAACAACGGCAAACAAATGTCATGAGGGAAAAAAGTAATCAAGAAAATGCTCAGTCCAGAAAAAATATCATTTTCAAATGATAAGTCAAGCTTAACTCTTATACAAGAATTAAGCAAACCTGGAATCTTAACTATCCGTTTTTTAAACTCCTGACTTGAAATTGGCATGCATAGAACTCCAAATTGACCATTCTCTGTTGACAATGTTGAATTTCTTCGCCATATTTTTTTAGAAATTGACCTTTTGTTGGAGCAGCCCTACACACTTGACTTTCAAAAGTAACATTATCAACTAATGCAATCAAAGGAACATTTTTACTTTTCTCCCAATAGAGACTCATATATGAATCTAAATTTTGCTGGGCATTGAAAAGTGATACACAGAGCAAAAACAGGATTTTTTTAACATAACTCTCAAGCACAAGCAGTTTTGGTAGCCATTATATTGTAGTGGCTGAATATAAAGCTAAGAAATTGGCTTTGGCTGGGAGAAAGATCACTTCATAGAAGAAATCAATATAAGGAGAGATTCCAAGGAGATAGCAGCTGATGTTTTGGGATAGGTGAGACTCCACGTGGTGAATTTGAAGTTCAATTAAATATTCTATTAAAAGCTTTTGAGATGCTACTTTATCTTCTCACTTCAGATTTAGCTATTTATATAGAAATTTTATTTATGACCTCTAGGGGTGCTCCTTTGTTACCACATCCCCAGTGATCGAATATTCTGATTCATAAGTTTATATTACAATTTTGACTCATCAGAAAAAAATGAAGCAGCAAATTCACAAAAGAGGTGATGTGATATAAAGCAGTTATTCATGGACTAAAAGAATGTTGTCAATAGAACTATCAATCTTACAGGTGAGGGATCTAAAATATCAATTGCATACAGTCCATAATCATCTTCAGGGACCGTGATTTCAATGCTGTCATCCAATGATTCTGTATAACCTGAAAAACACAAACTCGGATTCAAAAAGCAATAAATAATCAAACCATGTGAAAGTTTAGAAGAAATTAAATTGATCATAAAAGGCCTATAATTAAAATTTGAGTAGACAAAGAAATTTTTTATTCAACAAAGAAAGCACACGACATTCAATAATAAATTTTCTATTCAACTAAGAAAGCAAACCACCTTCTTCATTCATACGAAATCTTATCCCACGTAGTGTAGAGTCTAGGAGAGACAAATGATGGGTACACAGCCTTAACCCACTTTCTATGTGGAGAGGCCGATTCCGATGACCCTCTACTACGAATGCTAATACTAAGAGCATCTAGACTAGTTATTGCCATTCTGGCAATGTCAAAGCTCTAACTTGGCAAGTGATTTACTAGTACAAATGTCATTTTGTCACAATTACCTTTTCCTATATTCTTTACCATTTTTTTTACCTATCAATTTGTGCGTGTCATCCTTGCGCAGGGTATATTCGAGAATGGATAGGAGTAGTATCGATAGAAGATAAGTTGAGAGAGAATAGACTGGGATGGTTTGATCATATTGTAAGTTTTCTGAACAAAACTGTATATTAGTCTTGAATTAATTTGAACAAAGAATACATACATCATTTATATAGAGTACCACTAATTAATTCCTAACCCTACATGAATACATTACTGAAATATATAGAAGTCTAATAGACATAGGACACTTAATCCTAATCCGAGAAGAACACATATTCTCACACATATATAACAGAAACAAACAGAGACAACAGTGAAAAGGTGCAATACTGTGGCAGTAGATGGGAGTGTTAGGAGAAGGGGCAGACCTAGATTGACGTGGGTTAATGTAATAAATAGATTTATGAACCTCCTTAATTTGACTAATGAAATGGCTTTGCATAGATTCAAATAGAGAAGAAAATTCATGTAGCCGACCCTATTTGATGGGATTAAGGTTTGATTTGATTTGGCCCAAGTCTGGTCTGGTCGGTATTTCTTCTTTTCCAATTACCATTGCCGTTGGATGAGCATCTTACACTGTAGCCATTGAATGAGCTAGCACCACCATCATTTTGGCAGCCCTTCATCTCATATCGTATCTCACCAAATTCTCTCTCTCTCTCTCTCTCTTTAAGGTTCACTGTGTTTCAAGGTTAACAGCAGTTCTCGGTGGCAGCGGTACAGATCCACGGTTTCAAGGCAAGTTATGGTTTGTTTAACGATCTGACAAACTCAAGCCTCTCTACAATCTTGATTTAGTGAACTTCTTGTGTGATTTTGTGTCAATTTTTCTTTTTATTTTCTAGTGTATTTTCCAGGAAACTTGGAGCGAAGGATTTCTACCACAACAACTACTACTAATAATAATAATACATCCTCAAATTAGCCTATCACACCTATTTCCCTCCTAATTGAATCAAACTTTCTTTTCTTTTTCTTTTCACTTGTTTCTTCCAAAAGAAAAGTACAAGACAAAGCAAAGCAAAGCAAACCACTCCAAATTTTCTTCACCTTTACCAAATTTTCTTTTCTCTTCAACCAAACAGATAACAATTGAAAAACCAAACATCAGCAAGAGAGGTGTACCTGTTTGGGGATTATAGAGTGACATGGCCTTTGACCTTTTGTTGAAGCAGCCCTACACACTTGACTTTCAAAAGTAACATTATCAACTGCCTACATTGAATTTGGAGCAATGCAATCAAAGGAACATTTTATTTTTCTCCCAATAGAGACTCGTATATGAAATCTAAATTTTGCTGGGCATTGAAAAGTGATACACAGAGCAAAGACAGGATTTTTTTAACATAACTCTCAAGCACAAGCAATTTTGGTAGCCATTATATTGTAGTGGCTGAATATAAAGCTAAGAAATTGGCTTTGGCTGGGAGAAAGATCACTTCATAGAAGAAATCAATATAAGGAGAGATTCCAAGGAGATAGCAGCTGATGTTTTGGGATAGGTGAGACTCCACGTGGTGAATTTGAAGTTCAATTAAATATTCTATTAAAAGCTTTTGAGATGCTACTTTATCTTCTCACTTCAGATTTAGCTATTTATATAGAAATTTTATTTATGACCTCTAGGGGTGCTCCTTTGTTACCACATCCCCAGTGATCGAATATTCTGATTCATAAGTTTATATTACAATTTTGACTCATCAGAAAAAAATGAAGCAGCAAATTCACAAAAGAGGTGATGTGATATAAAGCAGTTATTCATGGACTAAAAGAATGTTGTCAATAGAACTATCAATCTTACAGGTGAGGGATCTAAAATATCAATTGCATACAGTCCATAATCATCTTCAGGGACCGTGATTTCAATGCTGTCATCCAATGATTCTGTATAACCTGAAAAACACAAACTCGGATTCAAAAAGCAATAAATAATCAAACCATGTGAAAGTTTAGAAGAAATTAAATTGATCATAAAAGGCCTATAGATTGATTGATGGTGTGGCTCGCCTTTTTCGTGCCCCTTTTCGGAAGCTCAAAAAGAAGCCCTACAGTTCAGACTCACGTGGTTCTGAATCTAATCTCACAAGTGCAATGTGAAACTGATAAACACCAAAGAGTCC